GAGAGCAGAATCAGCTCTTGATATTAAAAGATCGTTTGTTGTCACAAGTTGCAGAATAAACGCCACTCTTGAAGGCACACCTTGCGGCTACTGCTAAAAATCAGTGCAATGTGTGGGGGAATGGTAATGTGGGACGCCTTGGACATCCTTGCACCCACTTTGAAAGTTGTCAGAAAGGGTCATAAGATAGACAGACAGCAGTGTTGCTCAAACAAGTCCTCCAGAGCCCAAGTTAAGCCACACCGCTTTGGTTTCTGCCGTTTCGCCTTCTCCTCTCGCTGCTCATGACTGTCGTTCTTTCCAATTCTCATCCTATCTTCGCTTCTCATGGGTCTCGATTAGGTCCTTTTTGGCGGTTTCCTCTGCTTTTTCTTCACGAGTAGTTCAACTAGCGCGAACCGAACCTCACTCCTCAACCCGCTAGCTACAAGGCTTTTGAACGATTAACCGTGAATTGTACCTTTAGGGTTACAGACAGTGGAGACAGCGACCAGAAGTGGTTGCTAGTTAAGCATGAATGGGTCAAAAGTGATGCGTTGTTCTTTAGATTTCAAAGTTCGAACTGACCGGCGACCTCTTCCCAAAGCTCATCATTTCCCTTTCGAATCCTCCCGATCGCTTGCCGAACGACATGATGTCTCGTTCAAACTGAAAAGAAAACAATCTCATACTATCTGTATCGGTTACTGCTTTTGTATCTCTGCAACAATTTAAAAATGGATCTCATTCAGATGCATGATTTTTTCTGAGATGAATTTTTCTCACCCATTAACATCGACAGTTTGATATTAGGTTGGCTAATAAGTAATGGCCGTTTTTTCAATTGAAAAATTTGTTCGAAAAGTGAAATGTTTTGCAAGCAAGTTATATATCATCTGATAGGAAACCCCGGATCGTAAAAGATAATCGTTGCAGTCAGGGCACATCGTACGTTAGAGATCCTCAAAGAGGGTCATATTTAGTCGCTGGAGGGAGGGAGGGGGAGGGGCAGATTGTCTTTGAAAAAGTTTCTCGTTTGTTGACTTCTGTCGGCTGTTCCTGTTTCAAATGCGCTATAGCGCAATCTATTCCTTCCTAGCTCGATACTACTTTGAATGGGCGGAAGTTAGAAAAACCTAGAAAGATGGTAGCTATGGTAGATAGGATGAGAAGAGGATCGTACCAGAAAGATCATGTGCTACCGTTGGTGAAAACTTCTGAAAAAAACGAGTTTTCAAGGATATATTGGTGTATATTTATCCCAATGTGTAATGTGTCTAGTCTCCTTCCCCCCTCCTCCTTGACCTCATCGCACCTGCTATCTTCCTAGGTTTTCCCAGCTCTCTACCACTTTTCTAGAATTTTTTTGGAAATCCCTCTTTTTCTCCGAAAAGTGCCTTCGAGCGGAAGCGAGAACATAACGCATGTGAAAGCCGGAAAAGTTAACAATCAAAAACTCCACATCAAAAGCAAGACGGCCCCGTCCTCCCTCCGGCGGCAAATGCGACCCCCTTCACTGGGGATCCCCAACATACGACGTGCCGTGGTACCAGAGGAGGAAACCGTCGGGCTCGAGTCTTGTGTTGGAAATCTTTCGCCATCGTCAGAACTGCTCTGATCGCACATTCCCTCAGTGATGTGAAGCGGTGGTCCGCGTTGAGTTCGCGCATATTGAGCATATGATATGACATATTATGAATGTTACTTTGAGCTATTTTGTCAACCAAATATTCTCTCGTTGTGAGGGTCCAGAGGTATTTTCTCATGGCTTCCACTGGTCAAGCATGTGAAGGCAGAAGGAGAAGCAAGAAGCAAGAGAAAGGAAGGGAAGAAAAGAAGGAAGGAAGAATAAAAAGCGAGAAGGAGGTCTTGCGCTTGACCAATCCTGAGACGGGCAAACCCTTACACAACCATAACCTGCACGTTCACTTTCTTTGCAAGGGAACTGGAATCTTGCATAGACAGTGCAGTTCCGGGAACCTGCCTACGAGTGACCCAGTAATGGAATTTACCCATATGCTTCAATCTGCTCCAAGATAACAGCGGAACATTGAGGTAATAGTAGAACCGAAGTTTTTCATGCAGCTGTGCGCCGTAAATGTTGCTCAAAAGGGCCAAGAGTAAGTATTTCTTGCGAGTGGAGGTTCTTTTTCTCCACCAACTCGCATACAAAGTTTTTTGATAGATACAAAAGCTCAGAAAAAGATTACTTCACGAACACCAAGAACAAAACGGCATCAATCACGAAACTAGCTCAGATCCTTCATCCTCGGATTTCCGGTGTTTCTGTCGTCTGGGATACTACAGATTTATTCAAATTAGAACTGATGCTTGATGTTTTCCTTTGGTCCCTCCACTGGACACCTAGTATTGAAGGCAGAACGGAGGTTATATAGTAACAACTGACGCTGGTTACCATGTGCGGGGTCCGGAAGTCAAACCTGTATATGCATCCCAACACCTGAGCAACCTCCTGGTTTTCAGTAAAAATCACTATGGAGCAGATTCTTCCCAGAAGGATCAGTCCTACGTTTTCCTAGTTCCTTATCTTCATGAAATAAGCATTAAGCTAAATCTTACCGCTGGAATGACTGCTCGCTTGCCGAAGTGCATAATGTCGCGTGAGAAATCGTTTCGTTTCTCATTTTCGCCACCATCGGAAACTGGAAAGTGGAACATTTCAAGAAAAAAATGAGGCGAAAGTGCCGTGCAAGCTTCTAAAACTTACGGTACTGTGTGGAAACGACAGTAACCGTCACTGCGAGGCAAACGAGGGACCAAGGAGGCATCATCATCTGAAACCCTAAATGACTTTAATTTCGACAGCCACAGAACAAAGGCGACGAAGAGGACGACGAAGGCGATGCGAAGAGCACAAAAAGTATGAACGCGACAAAGGAAGTGTGATTAGGAATGTAACCAAAGTAGGAACGCTTGTGATAGATAAAAACGTTCTTGTTCAAATGATCTAAATGATCCATCATTCTGCTGAACGTGCATACCAGATGAAATTATATGTAACACATGCCGCCTAGAAGGAGTGGAGGATTTCTAAGGAGCTTTCAAGAGATTATTCGTAATGAAGAGATGTCTTTTTATGCTTATGGATGTTCACTCGATGTTCATTGCGGAAGATGAGACGACGAGAACTCTTTGGAGTGCTGACTACGGTAGTGTTCTTTGACACTTTGCCATGGTGGCCCAATGGAAATGTGGGAAATGTGGCGACATCCGTGGCAACATTTTGGAATGTCGTTCACCTGCACGCTCAAGAGAGGCAAATAAAATAAGGGTCCATTTAGCGTGGTCTGATTGTACGATTTACTGGTTTTATATGTTGAAGGATGCGT